AGAGAGAGAGAGAGAGGACAAAATGTGATGATAATCATGCTGAAAAATAATTAATAAAATTAAGTTATATTGCTTATAATTAAGTTATTTCTCATTGAAACTTGCAAAAAATTAACGGAGTTCATTTGAATTCAAAGTTTCTAAATATTTTGATAAAAAATTATTATAAGTATACAATTTCTAAAAAAGTAGAACAATTAAAACAATAAAATTCAGTCCCAAAACATTTCCTAATTAAAAAAAATTTAAAAAAAATCAATTATCGAAATGTGTCTAAAATGACAATATCTATATTTTTGATGTTTCCGTGCAATCAAGCTTTTCGACCCCACTCCCAAAAAACAAAATGAAAAAAAAATTAAAAATTAAAAATTAAAAAAAAAATCATGATGCATGGCTGTTTAAGAATTTACGTTGCTCTTCAAAAAATTATTTGAAATATCGTGATTGAGATCCACACCATCTCTACCATGTTAGTTTCTTGCTTCCTAATTTTAGTATTGGTCATTTGATCAGCATCATATTTGTCTTCTTGATCCTTTTCATTTTATTATTATGTTTTGTTTTTACACTTAATTTTCAATGGTGGATAAGCCTAATTTCACTTTTCTTAAAAATTCTCTCGAAAACATAATCAATTCCCTCTTTAAATTATTGTGTTATTCATCTTTCGATTTTAATAAATCAATTATTGAAATTGGTGAATATATCTTTATTCGTTCATCAAACGTTTACAACTGGCCACTCAAACTTTTAAATAGAAAAACTAACTGACCTAGCCAACTAAGTCGTGCAAACCAATGAAAGAATGACATATTTATTGTAGTAACAAACTAATAACTATACACAATCTAATATTCTCCCGCCGAGGAAATAGAATAGAAGCAGGTAGAGCTTTGGTGAAGACATCAACTAACTGATGTCTAGTTCGATAAGGTAAAAGCTTGATGTAGCCACCAGTAATTTTGTTGCGAATGAAGTGACTATCAATCTCAATATGTTTAGTTCATTCATGGAAAATAGGATTAGTGGCAATATGATCGACATCTTGATTAATCAAAGCTAGGGGCAGCAGACGAGACTTGAAGACCTCAAAGCAATTGATGAATCCAAACAAGCTCACTAACAGTGGAGGCCAAAGCACAGTATTCTACCTTAGCAGAAGATCGAGACAAGTGCTCTGCTTCTAAGTTTTCAAAGATGCTAATGAATCACCAAGAAAAACACAAGCCTGTGATAGACTTCTTAGAGTCAAGACACGACTCCCAATCAAGTAAATGATGATGAACAATAGTAAGATGAGTTTACCAGGGTTGAGGGACGTACTAACTGAGCTTATAAACAGCAAAGGTAATATCAAGACGAGAGATGGTCAAATAAAGCTATCGACCCACGAGCCACCGATGTAAAGAAGCATAAGGAAGAAGATCCCTTTTAAAAGAGCTGAGTTGAACCTTGGGATCCCTAGGCAAATAAGCTAGTTTGCAAGCTAAGAAACCAGTATCTTTAAGTACTATAGTGTATAGTGTTTTTGGTAAAGGAAAATCCCTTTGTGAGATGTGGCAATTTCCAAATTGAGGAAATATTTCAACTGGCCAAGATCTTTGAGTTTGATATGACCGTGTAAAAAGGCTTTCAAAGAGTCCATGACCTTATGATTTGAATCGTTGATGATAATGTCATCAACATTAGGGGTGGGCGCGAGTCGGTTCGGTTCGGTTCTGTTCTAAAGAGAACCGAATTGAACCAAAATTTTCGGGTATCTAGTAAATGGAACCGTCATATCCAAATATAATTATGGAACCGTTCGGGTTCGGTTCCGTTCGGTTCAATTCAGTTCGATTCTGTACTATAATTAAATTTTTTTAACATTTATAACAACATTATATAAATACAACTAATGATACATTCAATAGTTTTGGAATACTATAGACTAGTAGATTACATTGTTCAAATGATCGCTTCGGTCAAAGCTTCAGTCGGCGGAGGTCGCAGCTTTGATCGGAGGTCATAACATCGATCGATGATTGTATATGTTTTGAAATGTCGGCGAGGCTGCGAGAGTCGAGACAATGTTATGCACTTTAGTGCAGGTGTTTAGAGTTATTTAGTAGATTGGATCTTGTTGGATTAAGAAATGAAACAATAAAAAGGGTAATGGG